AACATATAAGACCAGGAGGCAATTCTGTATTCCAAAAACTTAGGGACCCAAGTAACAATGTCCAGAAGGAACCACAGCACCACACATGGCATCACATGGAGGGTGAGATGTCCTCTCCATCTGCCCCTTCCCAGTCCCCCATAAATCTATTCTTCCTCAGATGTCTTTATTTAGGTTCTTGGTCATACCCAGCTTCCTCCCACCCTGAGCATGGAATCCCTCCAGTAATCTTCAACTCCTACCTCGTCACCCACATCCACCCAGCCCTTGTACCTACTCCCATCTTCCTCCAGTGACCCTGCTACCACCCTATCTGTGGACTCCTTGCCTCTCGCAAGAGACCTCCTCTGATTCTTGGCCTTTCTTCTCTCTCTTACTTTCCCCAAGTGCCACCACCAGGCAAATGTTTCTTCAGTGAGATTCTTACCTTATGTCGTGAAGATGGGAGACTGAAGAATCAGCTTGTGGCTCTTCCACTCCATCCCCCTACACCCTCCTCTATACCATGTGACTGAGAATGTTCTAGATAGATGCTGCTTTGTTGGCCTGGACTCTGAGAGAGGTGATGACCAGAACCATAAATAACTCATGTGAGCATGAAGCCCCTGGTGGTTGCAAGACCCTGAGATTTGGAAGGCTACTCACCAGAGCACAATCTGACTTCGACTGAAGAATACACTCCATTCCTGGGGTCTCAGGAGTGACATTTCATGGGTGGCCAGGCCTGGTCCATGGTCTCACAGTGGGCAGCTGAAAGGCTGGCAAGAAACTTTAGAATGACCCAGCATGAAGTGGGTGGAATCAGACAAAGCTATTGGCTTTTCACCTCTTGCTTCAAATTTCAGAAAATTGCCTAAAGTATTGCAAACCACGTGCATCTCTGTTGGCTTAGTGAAAGCAGTTGGCAGGATCGAGTGGCCCCTTGTTAAAAGTCACGTCACTACTTGTGCTGAGAGAATAACAAGCCAGACAGAAAGAAAAGGTTACAAGGAGACTTCTTAGAATGCTGGCAAGAGGAGGAGACAAAAAGGGAGCAATGTTTGTAAACAAGGGGGTTGGAGTCAACCGTGTCGTAAATACTTCCACATAGGGACGTTTTATTACATAATTGATCACGATGACAAGTCCATTTCTTTCAAATGGGTTACATTCTGTGTAACCCAGAAAGTGGGTTACATTCTGTGCCCAGGAAAAAGCCACACATATTAGCTCTGTGGCCTCATAAACAGCTTGGGTTCTGGGAATGTTTGCCGCTGCAGCTTGCAAAGTTCTTTCCTTGAAGAAACTCAGAGCCCTTTGCAAATTAAATTAGAAAGTGTACACAGGTCGGCGCAAAAACAGCCCAGGTTTTTGTGCTGCATTGGTATTATCAAAGAATATATCACTTTACAAATAAAGTCCATTTCTTTAGGCAAGGTGGCAGTGAATGTGCGAGCCACGTAAGTTTACTTCTAGAATATTCTATCCCAATTCCTCTCCTGTATTAGCAGCTTATAAAGTTGCAATATTTTCAGAGAATTAAATATTCAAGAGTGGTGGCCACGAAGCAGCCCTGTTTCCTTTGATTTCCTCAAAATGCTTATAACACCGTGAAGAAGAATGAAGTGAAGCCTAATGGTTAGGTCCGCGGCTTTAAAAAAAAGTCATTTTTCTTACTCTAATTTACTGTCACTCAAGTGGTCAGAGGCTGCCATGAATGGTTCTAAGTCAGAAGAAAAAAAAAGAAAACATTTTTTTAGCATTGGGAGAATGTTCAGTGTTCAGTGTGGTTTGCTGCCAGTCTCCATTTCAGCAGAAGGGCAGACAGATGACACTCCAATGCCTTACCCAGGTTGACTTAGCCAGTGAATGACACACTGGGGTTCGCAGACACCACCAGACTGACAGGCCCTCGGAGGCCCTGGGAGGCTGACTCTGAAGTGATGGCACAAGGAGCAGGCACTCCCCTGTACTTCAGGGGAAAGAGCATTGATTTGAGTGTCCTTGGAGGAGACATCTGGACCTCTTTGGGTGAATATTGCCTGCTCTGTCCTCCAGGCAGGATTGGCTGGAAGATAAATGAGAGAAAGTCTATGAATCATTCCCCAGAGTTGAAGAAGTATAGCATAAAGGAGTATAGTCCCAATATGTGGAATACTTGGAATGAGCCAGGTATCTGCTCAGCTCATTTTATCATCATCCATGCTAAGAGGCAAGAAAGCCAGTGTTTTTGTACATGCGAAGGTAAAGACTTTGGTTACGTAGTTCACCAAGACCTCACAGATTTGAACCAGATTCAGCTGACCCTCACACTTGAGTGCTTGATCAATGATAGCATACAAAAATAATCCTATACTACAATACTGTAGTATATATTGCTATACAATATTGTAGTACATTATAGTACTACATAGTATATACATCATAGTATATATTTCTGTTTATATAATTATATAATAATGCAATAAAAGTATAATAATACTGTCATTTAAGATTTCATGGTCCCGAGAAATAATTAACATTGCATGCATATTAGGCAAAGAGCATCAGTGGAGATATTTATATGTGCTACATCATAACAACAAAACAAGTTTAGTATTTTCCTATTTTTTACAAGTAACTGAAAATGATTACCCTTTAAATGTTCCCAAGAACACAGTTGCAGCATTTTAAACAAATTATGGTGCCCACCCCTTTAAAGAATGACTTAGTGAGAAATTAGCTTCACCCAAAAAGAGGTTTTGTTAAGTTAGACACTTGTGTCTAATATGGGATTTTCAAAAATATTTTCCTGCATGTGGTTGTATAATGTTATGAGGTTGATTTTTAGCATATCAAATTTAGGTAAATTCCACTTTTCTTACAATCTCTTTACAACACATGCGAATTAAAAAATTGATGTACTCTGTTCAGACCAGGTGTCACTCAACAATTCAACATCTGGATAATTCACTGAAATATATACTCTCCCAGAATAGGATGGTCAGCGTTTGACTTGAATAGATATTTAATTAACTGACTTCCTATTTGTTTTTACTTTTTGAACAAGTTGTGACCTTTGAGGACAGATGCCTAGTCTTTCGCTGGGAAATTCTTTGATTTTCTCAAGTGTGTGTGGGGAGGACCAAACTTTTGTCGTTTTTCTGTTTCAACTATGACTAAGAGGTATAAAAGTCTCAGGTAAAGAACTGACAGCACCTGCCTACCTGTCCCCTGTTCATGCCCTCTTCCCCTTCCCAGGGGGAGGAGGGCATCAAGAGTTTTCTTGGTTCAAATATGTTAAGCTAGGAAATTCTTTATATTCACCTCATTATTTTAAAAATCACTTCTAGTAGGTGAACGGGACAAATGAGTGAACCAGAAGATGGCGTTGAAGATTAGCAATCCCTCTTCAAACCCTCCACAACATAGTTGTAAAGTCTCAGCCGCTTTCATACAATGACTGTTGTTTTGAACTTCTAAAAGTAGCAGGGTGAGGAAAATGTTGAAACCAGCTAAGCCCGCTGCAGAGGACACGTGTACGAAAGTGTGAGAAGCTCTAGTTTTGCCATTTTGGTTCTTAGCAACAGCAACCCCCTTGCGTGCTGTTTGTGAGCACTTAGGCGAGAGGAATTCACCGATAGACATGCACTGCAACTTGAAGGTGGCAATCTTTGTTTTGCTTCAAAGCAACAAAGCGCTCTCAGAATAGTTCCTGATAAGTAGTAGGTGCTCAAAAATATCTGAATGAAGGAATCTAAGAAAGGAAGAAAAACAGGTGATGCAGAATTTTCTTTGAGCAAAACCCTGCTGTTTATTCCCCAGCCCCTCATCATGGAAAACTTCACTTGGGTAGAAATAAAGGCATGGCATCCTGTTAATTTCTGAGAAATTCTGTTAGTTTTAGGAAAAGTCTGTTAGTTATCGGTGCCTCACTGCCTGTTTTTCCTCTAGCCTAAACTTAATTTTTTTCATTGGGGAGACACTGACCCAATAGATAAGATTCAAAGAAAAACTGAGAAATAAGTGAAATCAAAAGCTTTTCAAAACTTGCATGTTGACCTCGGAGGTGGTGATCTTAAATCATATAGAAACTGTGACCTGATGGTTTTACCTGAAATTGCTAATAAACATAGTCTGAGCATCCAAGATGCTCTGGTGAAAGTTTCGTGGGCAGGTAGCAGGCAGTTCATTCTGATATCCAGGAGAGATTAAGCCAAAATTGCAGGTGTGCGAAAATATTCATTTCGACCTGGTTATGTGTATGCCAGAGGGAGGCTAAAACTATGGCATTTTAAGGTGAACTGAAATCCAGAAGCAATTAAGCACTAGGTACTTGGGGACCTCTCCGCCGCCCGCCCCCCTCCCTTTCATGTAGCTGTATTGAAACTTTGGGGTCTATGCATTGAGTTACCTCAGCTCACTAGTTTAACAGACGCACAAGCGCTGAGAGTAAGCATTTCAAACGTGTAGCCTGTAACTGAGCCACGTTTATAGTTCAAGGGAGATGGGCCGTTTCCTTTTTTTCTTTTCAGCGAGTAAGACGTTCTCTAAAAACCGCAGAGGGGCAGCGCTGTAGGTGACACTGGGAGTGCCAAGAGTGCCCCCTCCCTGCCCCCAGTCCCCAGTTTTTCGTTAAGGACGATTCCTCCTCCTTCTATTAATCTGCAAGTGAAGTCCCTTCGCACCAGATTCCCGCTTCTACTCGCCCCCCCACTTCCCGCCCTAACCACACCGCTGCAGGTTAGCTGTTATTAGTTATCGACCGGCCTCCCGCGGGTCTAGGCGCGGAGGCGAGGTCCGGGTTTCGCGCCTTGCCCTTCTCAGGAAACCGCTGAGTGAGGGTCCCCCCGGGGGCCGCGCGCGCGCCACCCCGAGTGCGCCAGCCGGGGACTAGCCCGGGGCGCTCGCGCTCTCCCGCCCGCCCCACCCCAAAGGCGCCGCGGGCCCCGCCCCGCCCAGGCTCCGCCCCCCAGCGCGGCTTTTAAGCTCTATAAAGTTCCTCTTTCGCGCACCTCGGAGTCTTAGTTTCACCACTCGAACTTGGGACTCACCGCTGCCCCCAGCTCCTAATCCGGGGCGAGGTAAGATCTGGGGTCGGACCGGAGCCAGGGTCTGCGGCTGGCTGGACAGAGTCAGGGGAGCGCGAGATGGGAGGTCCCGGGTGCCACCTCGAGCGCACGCAGGAGACCCCAGCCTCGGGTCCGGGAAGGAGCACGCCCCTCCAGGGAGCCCCGACTCCTACCCCGTCTGCTCGGTGCCGGGGGCCTCCGTGAGGGCGCGGTGGAGGACCGCCCGGGGGATGCCGGAGGAGCATCCCTGCCGGATCTCCCCGCTCCGCGGCCCCGCCGCACTGGGTGGGCCCAGCCCTGGTTGGTGAGGGGGACCACGCGCTGGATCGCAAGGGTTAACTACAGTCAGCCCCAGGAAAGGCCCGGGACGGGTGTCGAAGGGGCCCACCCTGGGCGGCAGGCTTTCCCGCGGGGAACAGCCGCTTGCTCCCCAAATTCGGATCTGAGACTCCTCTCGCTCCTAGTTCTTAAGGGGTTCAAACTCACCGCGGCCTGTGGCGCGCTGCTCCTCGACTGGCGGTGCCGGAGGAGGAGCTCCAAATTTGGGCCACTCCGGTCCTGCGCTCTGCTGTCCTACCCTCTGCGCTCCTCGCCTTGCCGGCTCCTCACCACCTCCGCTGGGCCTCACCTGCCCCCAGGGTTCAGTTGAAGCTCGGCGGGAATCCCCGGCTCCTCGCCTAGGGCTGAGTCTCTGCCGCTTGTTGCCCCCAGGGCCCACTAATCCCCGCTCTCTGGAGAGGTTTAAGGGGATATTCTGGGGGCGACGTGTGCGCGTGCGGGAGGGGCGGGCCGGGGGAGAGTTGCAGGCTGCCGCACACCTGCAACCCCCGACCACAGGCGAGCGCGCGTGGGGATCCTCGGGGGTTGGGGACCACGAAGGGAGTGAGTATCGGGGAGTGTGCAAGAGTGGAAACTGACAGTGAACCGGGAGGCGGACTGGCAGCGGCCTGGGAATGGGCGGAGGAGCGGGAGCTGCTAGTGAGTATGCTAAGGCAGCGCGCGGGTCGGGGTGAGGGGGACCACGCGCCGCATCGCAAGGGTTAACTACAGTCAGCCCCAGGAAAGGCCCGGGACGGGTGTCGAAGGGGCCCACCCTGGGCGGCAGGCTTTCCCGCAGGGAACAGCCGCTTATTCCCCAAATTCGGGGTTTGGGAGTGTGCGCCCCGGCGGCTTGCGTGTCCCGGGAGCGCAGCCCTTGGGCTGCGCAGCGCGTACTGGAATGGAAAGTTCCAAAAGTTGGGTAGGAGCATGGACCCCGCGGAGAGCGCGCTGGCGAGGCGGCAGGACTGTGCGTGCCCAGGGTAAGTCCGGGCACTGGCTGAGAAGGGGCCCTCAAGGGGCCACTCTGCCGCGCGCGCCTGGCTGCCTCGCAGGCTCTGGGTGCCTCGTGGTTGTGGCCACAGACGTGTGGTGGGACAGACCGTCTTGGCGCCGTGCTGGGGTGGGTGCGGGTCTGAAGCGCGAGCCCCTCTCCCCTGCAGCGCAGAGCCACCCAGCGCACGAAGCAGATCCCGGGCGCGTGAGGGCGACCACCGTGGGCGCGCTGGGCATGAACCTGGAAGGCGGAGGCCGAGGCGGAGAGTTCGGCATGAGCTCGGTGAGCTGCGGGAACGGGAAACTCCGCCAGTGGCTGATCGACCAGATCGACAGCGGCAAGTACCCGGGCCTGGTGTGGGAGAACGACGAGAAGAGCATCTTCCGCATCCCCTGGAAGCACGCCGGCAAGCAGGACTACAACCGCGAGGAGGACGCAGCGCTCTTCAAGGTCACAAGTCCGCGGGCGCCCCGCGGTCGGGTTGGGGAGGGGACCCCTCGCTGCGGCTCTGCGCCCAGCCGAGTGGGCGCCTGGGGCGGTTCTTTGAGAGAAGCAGGACCACCCAGGACAGAGGACGTGGGGTGAGCCAGCAAGGCCTGGGAGCAGCAGGTGGCTAATGGGGAACCAGGGAGAAGTACCGCGTTTTCAACTCCTCCAGCGGTTTCACAAAGTGGGAAGGGGGAGGGATCGGGTCCAGTCCTGAGTTTTGTGCAGGAGCAATACCCAGAAGTTGAGGGCTCCGCCCCGGGAAATCCCTGGGACCTCAGCTGGGAGAGGGCTCTGGAGCGAGGATGCTTGTCTGCGTGTTTTTGGTCGCATTTCTGTGGGTTCCTGTTTCCATCGGAACCTTTTTCTGTCTTCTGAATCCCTCCCTGCCTCCCTTACTCAACTGGTGGCTCTGTTTGCCTGTCTGTGAGCACCTATGGGTGCTCCCTTCTTTCACTATGTCTTTCTGCCTTTATTTCTGTTCTTCTCTGGGGTCTCTGTCTCTCTGGATACTTTTTCTTTGGTTCAGTCTGTTTGGATCTTTCGTTCTGGTTCTTTCTGGGTCCTTCCATGTCTGTTTCTCGATTTCACTTTTTACAGGTCCCTCTCTGGAAGTGCCCTCTCTCCTCCTCTCCCCTTTTCTCTCCCCTCCTCCCTTCCCTCTCAGGATCTCCTCTTGGGCCTCTCTCTGGATCTGTTCTCTCTTGCCCTGTGTGTGTGTGTGTGTGTGTGTGTGTGCGTGCACATGCGGGCGCGTGTTCTCCCACCACTGGTTTCCCCAGAGCACTTTACCCGGTCAACTGTGCATGGGGGCAGAGCTACATCAGGGGACTTCCTCAGGGAATTTGCTCTCAGAATACCTCCTGGTGTCTGACCATCCAGCTGTGCTCTGTGGGTATCAGCTCTGCCCCCAGTTCCACTCACACTGCCTCAGACACTGAGTGGGGGCGTCCTGTCCAGGAGTCCGTCACTCCGCACCACCTTTCCACACCACTTTTAATAACGACCTGGAAAGTGTTCAAGCCACTCATTTCCAGCTCAGCCAGGACAAAGTCCAAGGTGAAAGGTGTTTCACCTGGTGAGCATCTGAAGCACCTAAGCCCGGCTATGTCCTTCAGAAACACAATCCTCAGATTTCTTTGAAGACCTGTATTTTAACATTTTTTTCCTCTTCACTCACAGGCGTGGGCACTATTCAAAGGCAAGTTTCGAGAAGGCATAGATAAACCTGACCCTCCTACCTGGAAGACACGTCTGCGATGTGCCTTGAACAAGAGCAATGACTTCGAGGAGCTGGTGGAGAGGAGCCAGCTGGACATCTCCGACCCCTACAAAGTCTACAGGATTGTTCCTGAGGGGGCCAAAAAAGGTGGGGCCTCCTGACTCGGTGCCAATCTATGGCAGCTTGGAATACCTTTCATTCTCTTTCTGGGCCCCTTTTTTCCAAATTTGATTTTTATAGCCTGCCTGCCTTCTGTCTCAGAAGGCTCATTGCCCAGGTGCCCTGAAGTTGAAGTTTATGTGAATTAATGAAGGGTCGTTGCTTAGAGTCCAAGTCTCCCCTGTTTGCGCATGTGTGCATGGACGTGCTTGAGTGTTTTCCAGCTATTTTATTAACATGCAGGCCAAATTTCCACCAAAAAGGGGAAAACTTGCGAGAGGCTTTCGCTTATCAAACCCCTGCTCGTGATTGACCATTGGGAGACCCACAGGGGTCATCCACCCATGTATTGTTACTATGTAAAGTCATATAAACGTGAGATTTTAGAGTGTTCTACATTGGCCGGGATGCTTCTTAAATGCAGATTCCCTCTTTCAAAAATTCTGACCAGTGTGTCAGAGTAGGACCAGGAATCTGAATTTTAAATAGAGCCTCCAGGCCACCCCCTTGTGGACCTCTGTTTGCTGGGGGCCTGAGGTCACAGGTGCTGTGCACACAGCATCTTGCTCATTTCTCTATCTGTCCTGAGTACTGAGACCTTGTAGACATCAGTTTAATGGCCTGAACAAGTACTCACCCCAGGGAATAACAAGGCTGAGAAATGCCTTATTTGTCCACACTGTGTTATGCATTCTAGGAATTAAACCCTCAGGTATTTTTCTAAGTTTTGACATTTACTTCTATCAGTTCCTTTTTTCACGTTGTGCTATTTCCCTTTTGCCCAATCACACAGGAGCAAAGCAGATGAACCTGGAAGACCCGCAGATGACCATGAGCCACCCCTACACTATGACCACTCCTTACACCTCCCTCCCAGCGCAGGTACCGTGGAGGGGCCAGAAGAGGCTGGGGCTGAGGGGGGCCAGGTCGTTGCACTCAGCACGAAAAGCTACACCATCCCAAAGAGCAGAACTTTAATTTTTTTTGTTGTTGTCAAACCACCAAGCCAAATGGCTGGTCCTTGAATGAATGACTTTCTACCTGGTGGCCCTGTCTGCATGGGTTTTAGTGGCACGCCTGTCACTATTGAGTCTGGAATCTTCTGGGAAACAGACCTTTTGTGGAAGTGGAAGGTTTTTGGAAGTAGGGCTTTATCATGTGAAACCACAGGGCAGCTGACCTCTTCAGGCTTTCCTACTATGAATGACGGCTCTGTCTGATTCCCTTTGGTGGGTAAAAAAGCGCAAACTTCCCTGCAGTAGTTTTGGTGCCAGGTTTAACCATATGATGAAACTTTATAGAAGTTTTACAACACTGTCCCCATTGTGCTGTGTTAGTCTTTACAGCCAGTCTCCACCTAGTGTGATGGACGGTCAGCTCCCAAAAGTCTTTTTGGATGATGAGATGATTGATTTGGCTGCCAGCCAAAGAAGAGATTCCCCAAGAAGTGTCAGAGGCTGAGTCACCCCCTTTTCTCCAAGGCCCAGCCAGTTTGCTTCGCTGAGCCTGACCTTGTGGGTCACCTGACCGCCACCCTCATGCTCCTTTAGCAGGTTCATAACTACATGATGCCTCCCCATGATCGAAGCTGGAGGGAATATGTCCCTGATCAGTCGCACCCTGAAATCTCCTATCAATGTCCTGTGACATTTGGACCCCGAAGCCATCACTGGCAAGGCCCAGCATGTGAAAATGGTAAGAAGGGTGCTGAGAGGCTGGTCCAGGGGTGTCTGATGACCTAGTAATGTCTTGCTCTGTCCTTCTGGCCAATCCCACTGCTTCTTCCTCTTCTCCCTGCAGCCAAGGAGAGACCATTTTCTCTACTCTTTGGGATGGTCAGGTGTCCGAAGGACACCACAGCCTGCTAAGGGCCAGAACCCATCCCAGCCCTTCCCTATGTGGGATCTAGTTTAAACCTCTCTTTCTAGGCTGCTAGAAACTACACTGCTTTTTGGAGAGGTCAGCTCACAGTTCCCAAGTCACGCAGGGACAGTGAGGATGTGGGGGTCCAGTTGTCCATCTTCTCAGATCTAAAGCCCAGCCTTCTGCGTAAGACAGGGATGCCAGCTGTCAAGTCGCTTGTCTCTTTCATTTTAAAATCTTGACTTATCTATTGACTTGGCTCGCTCTTTTTGATCATTTGTTTAATAGATTAACAGTGATCTTAAGCTTAAGCTTTATTTTTTATCTTGGGCAAAAAGTAATAGGTTTTGGTTGTCTTCTCTCTTGGGTTGTCCTGAAATGTTGAACCCGGGGTCACCCAATCTCTCTGGGCTATTTCTGTCTACACCTGTGTGAAATGGGTACCCAGCTGTACCCAAACTCTCCTTCTGGAGACAGGAGATCACTGAGCCAGCAGATTTCCATTAACAGTGGTGAGCCCACTGCAGTTATTCTTGGGGTTAGACATGATGGTAAGAAGAGATTGGGCCTCAGAGAGCTTTGCTCATTCTAGATGACATGGCCCCAGGCTGGCAGGAGTCCCCAGGTGTCAAGATGAAATCCCAGCAGAAGTGCTAAGTAGCTAAATGCAGAGAAAAATTTGCACATTGCGTTCAGCAGAACAAAACACGAGCTTTGACTTCATTATTTAATTAGAAATACTGAGATGGGTCAAATGCTCAGGTCCTTTGGTAAGTTCTAGGAAGATTTGTTCATTCACAGTTTGGCCTGTCCCCTACTTTCCTAGTGAAGCTCAGGTCACTCCTGGCTTGTGGTGTTGGTGAAATGTGATGTTATTTAATTCTGCATTGAGTGGCACTGCTCCTCAAAAGCTCGGAATCTAGCTTTGTTCACTTTGCAAGTGTGGTTGGCAGCAAAAGCTGGTTTTCCATAGGGAAGTGGAGGAATTAGCTAGCATTGAAGGGGGGTCTGAGAATCACACCTGTGTCCAGTGCTCCAGGCTCTATGAAGCTAATAATGTCTAGAACTGTGTGAATGGATGGAACAGCTCAACATGTTTTGCGCGTGATGGAGTGCCCATTCTGTCATGTGGTCTTTATGTGTGTTTATCGCCAGTCACAGCTTCTCTGCTGCTAAGAGACATTCTTCTCCCAAACCCAGATGTAACTATCTAAGTAGAATGGGCTCAGCAATGTGGGTTTTTAATCAATGCAGGTTCTTTGGCGTTAGAACTCACATAGACCCACTGGGAACTTGCGGTGTGATTAGGGGTGAACTGCTTCCCCTTGTTCAGCTTTCCTGCTTCTGAATTATGGAGGCGTCAAAGGGTAGAAGCTTTTAATGATAAGATTAGTAAGTTCTGGGAATCTGAGGGCCAGCACGGTCATTATAACATGATGAGTTTTAACAAAATTTAGTCAAAAGCTGCTAAGAGAGTAGAGCTCCGATGTTCTCACGACACAGACACACAATGGTAATTATGTGAAATGATAGTGGTGTTAGCAAACCTTGAAAGGAAGGGAAAGAAATGGGACAAGGAAGGAAGGAAGGGAGGGAGAAAGGAAGGAAGGAAGTTGCAGAGAAAGAACTCCCAACTCCCTTCAAAAGCTATGACAAGCTTTAACCTTGCCTCTGGAGAAGGCCAGCTGTCCACTCTAAAGGATCCTGGACCCTTCCCTCCCGGGCGGTACACCCCCAAGCACCTCAGGGAGAGGTGGCCTCCCCATGGGATGGACAGACTCTGTTTAGACATCATCTGCTTTTTATTTGCAAATGCAGGTTGCCAGGTGACAGGAACCTTTTATGCTTGTGCCCCGCCTGAGTCCCAGGCTCCCGGGATCCCAATAGAGCCAAGCATAAGGTCTGCTGAAGCCTTGGCTCTCTCAGGTGAGTGAGGCGCGGCCCCCCCAGAACGCCCGCCTTGGGGTAGATAAGCTGGGGGGCAGTGAGCACAGCCCACGGCCACTCTCTTCCCTCCAGGGCCTGGAGTGGGCATGAGCACAAGACTCCTAAGCTGTGTCAGAGATGCATTAGAAGGCAGCTGTGCTAATGCTCTGACTTGAGTTATTATAAGTTCTCTGTTGGCATCTCTCTGAATGTCCAGGAACAGGCTGACACCCCAGTCCCCTTTACCCAGGCCCCTCTTCAGTCAACATTCTCATGCTGTAGTATAATTTCTTAAAAAAAAAAAAAAAAAAAAAAAAAAAAGGCAAGGGCCTCTCATTTTGAAAAGCTGAGTGACCTTCTAGGTTTAGCCAAAATAAGTCTTCTCCAGGACGTGAATTCCAGCTCCTTTCTCTTTGGGACTTTCTAATGGCTAAAAGGCAACACGCACTTGTGATCTTCCTCTGAGTTTTGATAAGTCTTACAAGCAAATAACTAATCCAGATATGACTTTATAGGTGCATTTCTAGAATAATCCCTACAATCCCCATACCTCAAAGACGGTGCCCATTTTAAGAAAGCCTTTTTTGAGCATACAAAGTGTCCACACATTTGTTTCTTTATATCATGTTTTGGATTGTTTTAAAATGAATTGCTTCAGAATATTTCTGTTAAAAAGTCATATTAAAAAAGAATAGCTTCAGAATTCTCAGATTGCCCCCGGCTTCTCTGAAAATCAGTGATAGAACATAAACTCTTAAGTTTTTGGGGAGATACACGTGACAGGCAGCTCACTCAGTCCCAGGGGAGCTGGTTTTTCCCTTGACTTCTTTGCATGTCGAGGTTCTCAGTGGACCCGGTTGCCTCTCTTCTCAGTGCTTCTTAGACTGAAGTTGAGGACAAGGCGTTTCCGAGCAGAAAGGCTGGGGTTTGTTTTTAGAAACTTCAACTCCTTTTCTTGAGCACCTAAGGTTTGTGTGGGTGCCTGATGCGTAGGAAATAAACAGCTATTTATATCACGGTGATCTTGTGATTTCTGATGACATTGAGTGAAATGAAACCTGCCTTGCCAGTCACCTCAAATAGCCAACACCCACTCTCTTCAGGGTTCACCATCTGAAAAGTGTCTCCACGTGGCTGAAATTGAGCTGGAGAATTAGGACAGCGATGTGGGTTGTTAGAACCTCAGCGCCTGGCATGGACGAATTGAGGGTTTTGTGGGTTTCTTATATATATATGGTATAGATTGATTTTCCACCATGACTGCATTTCCCAGCTAACTCCACTTCCCATTAAACCCCAGGCCGTTGCCCATAGCAAGGCCTATCGACGAAGTCCTTTGCACTTCTGGAAAGGGGTCCATTACAAACCTAACTTGGTCCATTCAGTCTGTGGTCCTATTTTAAAAAGGATTCTGAAGTCAGCAGCATTTCATACATGAATTCACCTCATTTCATGTCTTAGAAGACGTGGTTGTACATCGTTACTGTCAAACTCACCACAGAGTCTAGTGAGATTTCTCTCAACTCTTAAAACACTTTTTCCTCAGTGATTCCTTTCTTTCCACACAAACTAGTTTCCTCACACAAGCGTGTAATGTGCGATACATCTGCACTATAGAAAATCAATTTAAAAATAAGAAAAGCAAAGATAGAAAATGAAAACATCATGTACCCAACCCCCAGAGACTACCATGGATAGAGTGTCAGTGCTTTTCTCTTCTCAATGGGTACATGCTTATGCATAGTTATTTTTTTATCTAGATGACTTCATGGTGATATTTTAGGCCTGTTTCAGATGTGTGGGCATATCTTTATGAAACGCCATTATATTCTCTTTGTTGGTTAAACTTAGGGTTTACTTCCTCCACAGTCAAAATTGATGGCTGTACTTAAAGATGAATTTTCATTCAGTGGCCCATAGCAATATTTTTTATGTAAATGTTGTCATCAGTGTTATCATCATCACCAAAAAGAAAAAAAAAATGGCATAGGACGGTCTTAACTGGGGTGCTTTCTAACACAGATTTTGCAGAAACCCATGAATCTTATGCTCACCCCAGCCCCACCCCAAAGTTCCATAGTCATCTAAAGTTGGAAAATGTTGAGTCAGACATTAAATAGGTTTCTTTTTTGGTGGGGGTTCTCTAATAACTCTCTGTCTGTGACTCTCTAGGAAAGAGATAAAAGCATGCAACATTGCCTAACTTCCTTGAGACCTGGAACTTTCTACTTTGTCCACCTTGGGACACCATTGTCCCATCAGAACACTTTGTTCTGGTTGAGTGGCTTGGCCTGGTGGGCAGCCAGCTGTCCTTGGTCCCCTAGCCCTGACCTGAGAGCTCTGTGTTTGCAGACTGCCGACTCCACATCTGCTTGTACTACCGGGAGGTCCTGGTGAAGGAGGTGACCACGGCCAGCCCGGAAGGCTGTCGGATCTCCCACGGCCACACCTATGACGTCAGTAACCTGGACCAGGTCCTCTTCCCCTACCCAGAGGACAATGGCCAGAGGAAAAACATTGAGAAACTGCTGAGCCACCTGGAGAGGGGTGTGGTCCTCTGGATGGCCCCCGACGGACTTTACGCCAAAAGACTATGCCAGAGCCGTATCTACTGGGACGGGCCCCTGGCCCTGTGCAGCGACAGACCCAACAAACTGGAGAGAGACCAGACCTGCAAGCTCTTTGACACGCAGCAGTTCCTATCAGGTAACACACCTAAAAGCCTGCTGGAATGGAAGGCCCTGTGCCTACGAGTCATGGAGAGGATGAGCGGGTGATGGGGTGTGCCCCACAGGGTCAAAACAGCAGGTCTCTCCTGGGTAGTGGGCTTCCTTCCTTCATCCCTGCACCCCCTGGGCCTGATCCCAGAGTGGGTGTCCTGGCGGGGTCACCTCTGCTTCTACCGCCTGCTCCTGCCCATTGTCAATGGGGCAAGAGAACAGAGATTGCTCAGGGGCTGCAATTCTGGCTGATGCTTCAAAATTCCAAATTTCGACAGGCAGTCACCTATTCATAAGGTTGTTTCATCAGCGGTATAGGTTTAGCAGAAATATCTGTTGATGTTTCAGCTCTTTCAAGGTTCCTAGGACAGTCCTAAAGATTAGACACCTAATGGCCTTCTCAGTGGCGAACTATGTTTTCTAGACACATGCCCTCTGGCTGGTAGGACCAAGGGTAGTGTGTGCCCAGCTGATTTAGCAAGTGATGAGAAGGTTTTGAGTGATCTCTGTGATGTGCAGATTTCTAAAGAATTTTCAGAACCAGTCAAAGTTTGTTTTCCTAGTTTTGATTTCATGACAGTTAGGTTAGTCCAGAGGTGTGAATCTGTTGGCCATGTTTTCTCGAAGTTTCCTCCAGTGCTGGTTTCACCAGAGAATCTCTTTTGCAGTGCCTCTTTTGGGGGGAGAAAACTCCCTGCCAGCTAACTGACCTCTAACTAACTTATCTTGTGCCTTACTTTTGATAAATGTTCTCTTCGGAAGCACCTTTCCCTGCAGGTGATTCTTGATTCATTTCAAACGAAAATAGAACCATCCAGCATTCTCACACCATTGACATAAGCTCAGCCTTTCGTGTTTCAGTTTCCCAGTATTGCTTCAGCTCATCCAGATTCCCTTTTGGTGCCTCAAACAAGTCCCTAGGTAGGACAGAGAGGTGTGACAAGAGGGGGCATTGAGTTTCTTCTTCTCCCCCCATACCTCACCCTGGTGAGAAAGGCAGGTGAGTCTGTACCCCTCCTTCCTCCACCTGAACTTCATAAGCCCCTCTAAGCCTCAGAGGGACTGTTCTGTCCCTCCTGGGGTCCAACAGGGTCATCACAAGAGGGGGGCAAGGGAGGGCACCCCGTCTGCACCCCCATGTCTGTAGTGGAGTCTGTAACAGTCCCCTGGGTCCGATTTCCTAGGAGATTGTGCATTTCGGTCTTTTTGGCTTCGGAAGACACCCCAGGGCTTGAATGAAGGTGCCCCGGGGAGGTGGCTCTTGCCCCTGTGGCTTTCTCTGGCCATGCATGTTTCAGGAAGATAGATCCCTCCCTTTGGAAGGGACCATAAGCTGCGCTTGGGTCACGGAGCACCCAGGAGGTCCAGGCAGCAGCCAGCAGGCACGCTACTCAGGCAGGGGATGTACTCCCCTGAAAGTGACTATTTATCTGTGAGCAGAAGTTGTTTTTTTTTTTTTTTTCTTCATCTGTGACCAAGGGCTTTGCTTTGTACCTCTTATCTCGAAGTGTACCCTGAGGTGCAAGTGAATACAAACAGCAGCTGTGTTCCCCCCTGCTTCTGCTTAACTAGGATTCCCACAGAACCTGGTGCTGTTATCAAGCCTCTGAGGCTTGACTTTTTCAGAAAATTGTGCCAACTCGCCACTCTGATCAACTTGTGTAGGTGTAGTCTCAAACCTCGGTGGTCTGGAAGCCTTTTACACAGTCTGACTAAGTCGGTTAGGGGTTAGGTTTGATTTGAATTGTAGAAGAAAAAAAAAAGAAAGAGCAGGAAGTCAAATCGTCCAGTGAGTTAGCTAGAAACATCTCTTCCGTTGACGAGAACGGTGGAAATCTTTGATATCTACTCATTCAGGATTTGCAAACTCTTAGGGACAGTCCCAAAGGCACAGCCAAGGTGCTATCTGATAAAGATGTATCTGCATCTGCAGGCTTTTCTGCAGAAGTTGTAGCAGCTAAGGTGAAGCCCTGTTGCTTTGGAGGACTTGATGTTTCACTCTGGCGGAACAGGAGCAGCTAGAGGCGGAGGAGTCATCCTGAATGTGGACGAGGGAGGAGCCTGGGCCAGGTCAGGGCTTGAACAGTCTTCCAGCTGTGCTCCCAGCTGTCTTGCATCCTTGCATTGGGAGTGGTGGTGTGGTATGGACATATCCACAAAGCAGGGGCCTCGTGCTGTCCCCTACCCTTATTGAATCATCTGCTGTCCCAGAAGACTGAGAACAGTCAGCTTAGAGTCACACAATTTGGGCTTGAGGGTCGTGGAGCCTGGAACTGTTGCTCAGTCTCTAGCATAACTGAAAGAGTATTCTGGGGAGCCTGAGTTATGTAGGGGGCTGGGCCGCACAGAGTTTGGATTTTGAAGACTAAGCGGTTTTGAGATGAGGTTTGTCAGTTGTCCTGGGACAAGTCTCAAAATTCTGATTTTTTTTTTAATTTCTTCTTGGTAGAATTTGTGCTTTGGCCTCATTATGGCTGTTTCTTTTCCTCATTTACTCCTTTCTGCTACCTTTTGCATCCAGTGGGGCCAATACTGCAAAGCAAGATTCTTATTCTACAGAATTTATTCCCTTTAATTGAGCGAAGCCTAGAGCCCCCTGGGAAAGGCACACGGTAGGATGTGGAGGCACAACCTCTGCCCTGCAGCTGGAAAGTCAAGAACCTCAGATGGAGAAAAGTAAAAGCAGGACCCATCCCTATTTCAGTTGTTGAAATCCACAGTGAGCTCTTGCTTTTTGCTTTACCATGTTGTGTTCAAGGATGAGGGGTTTTGAGCATATTGTCTCTTCTTGTGGGCTTCTTCCAGAGCTGCAAGCATTTGCTCACCATGGCCGGTCCCTGCCAAGATTCCAGATCACTCTGTGCTTCGGGGAGGAGTTTCCAGACCCTCAGAGGCAGAGGAAGCTCATCACTGCTCATGTGAGTATTCAGTTGCATCCCAGTGATCAAATTTCCCCGTTCTTCATCAAGGGCAAGAGCCCATGTAGACAAGTTGCAGATGAAAAGCACATGTCAGGTGACCTGGTTAAATCATGAGGGAGGAAGCATGGCTCAGTGAACAGAGTCCCCACCCCAGAGATGAACTTGCACACTGTGGGAGGTGATCCCCAGCCGCGGGACTCGTGGGTTCCATCATTTTAATTGTTCCAAGAAATAGCCATGTTTCCATTTCATAGGGATTCAAAAGGATTCATGCTAAAAGTTGCCATTTATGTTCTCTATGTTTAATATTGCTTTAAAAATGCAGAAAATTGATACTTGATAGGGAAGCTTTTCCTAAATGGGAAGCGGATGTGTCGACTTGTATGTTGTAGGTTCCCTGCAAACATTTCCCAGCCTCTCTTTGGCTTCTGGAATTATAGAAATGATTTAATTATTGAAGATTAATGGCCAGGTGTTATTTGGAGGTAGGGAAATCTTACAAGGAATTCAAATAAATCAGACTATTGTCATGTCCTCTAGTAGAGTTTAAGATAGGTTCTACCAGGGAGGCAAACATCTTTTTCTGGAGGAAAAAAACTAAAAGTCTTACATAAATGACATATAGCATTAATTTGCCCCAGAAAACAAGAGTTTTGAATACCTAAGCTGTTTTTGAATTTGAAAATTTTGCATTGCTCCTTTCCTTCATTCAAGGGCCCAGATAAAGAGTAGGAACAGTACTAAAAGCCAGATCAGTTTTTAGCTGAGAGAAGGTTTCTTATTGAAAAGTGAAATAAAACACTATCTCATCTCAAACCATGCAACCTACCTCTCTTGATTAGAAAACCAAAAACCAACCAACCAACCAAAATAGAATCTCAGAGACTTTATAGTCTTTCTCATGAATTCTCTCCCAAGATTGATACAACTATCGATATGATAATTGATGGTGTATTAACAACTAGTATTGTGAGATGTCATAATAAACCTAGCATGGATAAATAACATATCAACAGTTGATAATAAATTTCCTTCTGGAAGATTCTCTTAAGTCCATCCAGGAAACCTGTTTATATAGTGTGTCCCTCCGAGAGTTCCTACTCCCTTTTATCATACACTTAATTAATTAGATCCTTCCTACAAGTTATATGCAAATAATATAAATGGTCAATTTAATCGCACCATTCATGAAAGCATTCAGTTTTCTCATATACTATAAATTCAGGAAAAGCTTAAAGTGAAGTTTTTAGGGTGAATGTGATCCATCAAACTAGATGAATTTGGGGTCAGTTAACATCTTTTTTCCCACGATGGCAGTTTTGTTATTATTTGGTATGGTTTTCTTCGCCTGTTTTTGGTTTAGAATCTATACAACATCTGGGTAATTTTAGGGGTCATCACTCATTGGGAATGACTTACCTCATCCCTGTCAAGCTGCCCTGGTGGAAAATAAATCCACTGGCCAATATTTCCTTGAATATTGCCTCAAGCTTTCTTGATTTTACCTGCTCTGTTTCAGACTTAGTAAAACACAAAATTCAAGGGGCCATTAATTTAAATGTATCCTCTTTAACTGCAATTGAAACCGCAAGTCAAATGGATTCTGTCTATAGATTGGGGATGTTATGGAATAACAGAAAGTGCTGTAGAGGATGGCAAACAGGAAATGCTTTTGTGTGTTAAGAGACCTGTCATTGGATGTCACTTTACGGCATCCTGACTTACAGAGAATAATTAGTCTATGAAGAGTCAATGAATTGCTTGCTGATCGAAGGAAACAGTCGCAGGATGTTATCAAGACTGTCTTAGTAATGTCTTTCTTCAATCTGTTCTTAAAGGTTGAACCTCTTCTGGCCAGACAGCTGTATTATTTTGCTCAACAAAACAGCGGACATTTCTCAAGGGGCTATGATTTACCTGAACACATTAGCAGTCCTGAGGATTATCACAGATCTATTCGCCACTCCTCTATTCAAGAATGAAAATTTCACTGTGGTGGCATAGCCACACACTCAGCAGCCTTCCAGCCATGAACGTAAAAAGACAAGTACTTTTGCTTCCTTGTAAATATCTGACTGAGGAGAACAACCAACTGAACCCCTTTTTTTCTTTTGAGGAACTTGGAAATTAGGGCTTTGGTTCAACTGTTGAGCAGAATCTCATCAAGAATATCTCTGGGCAATAGCTAGGACATGAACAGTTGTGCTGATCCCCCAAGCAGGATGATCTTCAGGGTCGGCTGTGGCCTGCTGTCCTTGATGTTAACTGTGAAAATTGACCAACGGGTGCGTTTACATTTATTCAAATGCTTTCTTTAACTTGACATGGATTCTTGCTGGTATGAACACTGAGAAAACCTGTGTTTCAGTATTAACCCTTTACAGATCCAATGAGAGCATGCCAGAGCTGTACTCTCTCTCAGGGACATGATGAAAAGCTAAGTTAATCTGCACTCGGAAGAAATGTTTTAATACATGTAGTAGTTACTGCTTTGGTAGGAAATTGCTTGCTGATAAAAAAGAAAGAGAATCTTTGACTGAGGTTGGGTCTTGGTGTCTCCAGCTGCTTTGGTGGCTCCTTTCCTTCTGTGGCCAAGCTCTCACCCGGGGCGGGCTCCCCTTTCCTGCCTCACACTGCCTCCCCTTCTCTCTGTCTCCTTGGGGACCTCTTTGAAGCCCTTTCATATAGCCCATTGCTATTTTCTTGAGCCAAAAGCATTAGGGCCACCCTTATAGCATTTTCATCTGTTTCTAAACTAGTCGTGATTGGTTAAGATAGCTTTTGTCTTCTTTGTCTCTCCTATCAAACATTATGGCTGATACTTTGGTCTTGAAGAAGGAAAAAAGATCAGCAATCCCAGCTAGAAAGATAGATTTTGAAGCGGTGGTGACATTTCCCCTCTTATCCTGTGTGTTTTCCTTGGCTATGGATTAGTTACCCATGACAACACTAACGAGGAGGGGCCAGTGTTTTTCAAACTAGTGAACCCTGTTAGCAGAGATGATGACAGGATTTCACAAATTGCGTAACTGCAGACTCAGTGGACTGTTTTTGCTTATTTTGTATATTACTTGCTTCCTCATGCCAATAATGGGTGGACAGAGCCTTAAAATTACTGAGCTTTTTCCAAAGACATCTTTTTTTTTTTTTTTTTTTTTGCTTTTCTCTCCAAATTTTTTTTACTGAGGTGAAGTTCTTATATATCATTGTGTTGGCTTTAGGGGTTATAGATTCAAATCTCTATAAATGCATATTTTCAACACACCATGCCCACCAGCAAATCCCCATTATCCAACAAGATGCTCTATTGGGGCCCCTCCCTCTCTTGATCCCACCCTCCTACTCTCCCCTTCTTGTCTATTTGGCTTCAGATGTCAAAGGTTTGTTATTGGTTTGGTTTTATCTGACCCTTTGTTTTATTTCTCTATATTCCCCATATAAGTGAAACCATGAAGTATTTGTTTTTCTCCTTTTGACTTACTTTACTCAAATTATCACCTCTAGTTCCATCCACGTTGTCACAAATGACAAGAATTCATCTATTTATATCTGACAGTAGTTCATTGTGTTTGTGTATGTATATGCACACATGTACTCAACACAAGTGTTCCTTTTTCTCCACATCTTCAGCAATACTTGTTTCTGGTCTTTTTGATATGGACCATTCTCCGGTGTGATATGGTATCTCATTGTGGTTTTCATTTCCATTTCCATGGTGATAAATTATGATAAGTACTTCTTCTTAGGACAGGGGTCTATTTAGCTCTCTGCCCACTCTTTTGATTGGGCTCACTATTTCTTTTGTTGAGTTGAATGAATTCATTATATATTTTGGACATCAGCCCTTTGTCAGATGTGCAAGTATTTTCTCCCATTCATTAGGTTGTCTTTTTTTTTTTTTTAGTGGTATTTTCTTTTGCTGCAGAAACCTTTTAGATTTTTATATAATTAATTTTAATTTCTGTATTTGTATATATTTTACATCAGGTATAGTTCCCATAAAATTTCCACCATCAATTCACCCATGCACCATTACCATAGTCCTTGTGCGCTCTCACCCTCTCCCTCCCCCTCCCCTGCCCAGTGTCTCTGATTTATAGTTGCCTGATTATTTTTTTGTTTAGCTTTGTCATGTTTTATGTTTATTGCCGCACAAGTTATAATATGTAAAACTTGGGAAAAAACCCAAATGCCCAAAATAGATGACTGGATCAAAAAGATGTGGTACATATACACAGTGGAATACTATTCAGAAAAAAAAAAAAAAAAAAGATAATTTAATGCCATTCACAGCAACAAGGATGGAGCTAGAGGGGGTTTATGCTCAGTTAAATAAGTCAAAAGGAAAAAGAAAAATATCAGATGGTTTCACTTACAGGAGGATTATAGGGGGACAAAATAAGGGATCAGGGAAACCTTTTAGTTTTATATAATCATGTTTGGTTTTGCTTCTTTTGCTATTAAGACAAATCCCCATCTCTAAAGACATCGATAAAGCTAATGTCATGGAGTGTTTGGCTAATTTTTTTTCAATGTATTTTATAGCTTGAAGTTTTTTTTTTTTTTTTAATTAGCCATGTCTTTTTCTAGTTTGAGTTACTTTTTATGTAACATGGAAGATGGCACTCTAGTTTTTTTGCATATGGTGTTCCATTTTTCCCAACACCAATTGTTGAAGAGACTACCCTTTTTCCAGTTTATATTCTTGGTCCCTTGTCCTAGATTAACCTATTTGTCTGTGTATCTGATTTTGGTCTATATAATAGTGTTATAATAGTTTGAAATAGGGAAGCATGAAACTGTACTCTTCATCAGGATCATTTTGATTATTCAGGGTTTTTGTGGTTCCATATGAACTTTATTATCAGTTGTTCTATTTTCTTGAAGAATGCCATTGGAACTTGATAGGCATTCCATTGAATCGCTACATTGCTTTGGCAGGATGGCTGTCTTAATTAACAATGTTAATTAAGACATCTTTTTTATAGAATCACGCAGGCCTCTACTTGCTTAAGTGGTGTTGGAAAAGTGCAGATATTTAGGCAGTGGTGCCAGTGCTGATGTTTTTGTCACCTTCCAAAATTGCTGTTAGTTTTAGACTCAGCAAAAACTTGATAGTTCTCAAATCTGTATTTTAAAATTCATTCAATAAATGGGATTGCATGTTAAGTTAAGGTCTTCCTCTAGTGTAGCAAGCAATGAAACATGGCAGATATCGTTTCTTTTTTAATTACTTTTAAAAGGAGTTTGTAGGGATAAAATAATGCATATAAATTACAGAAAATCTAAACAGCATAGAGGGATAAAAGGACTATTCGCCTTTTTTTCCCAGCCCAAATCCTCCATCCTAAGAATTTGACTTATTCTTCCATCACTATAAATATTATAGAAACTGAAAAAAAAAAAAACTCATGGAATCATCTGCACCTGTTTTTATGAAGTGTTTATTTTAACCTGACAATACAGATTTACCTCATTCTTTGTAGAGGTGTTCTTGTAGTCAGTAGTCCCTTGTGAGCCGCCAGAATGAGCAGCACATTATATTTTGTGAGCTGCAATCAATTATACATCTTATAGATGCAAAGTATTTTTGGGGTATATTATCCTAAGAGTCGACTGTTAATGAAATTAGGAGCTGCTCTGATGGGGCCATGCAGTATGGCCCCCTTTGCTGTTGGTACCTAATCCCACCCAGGCCTGTAGGGAGGGTCTCTGTGGTGTCTGTCCCAGGGAATTTGTGTCTTCTCAATTCTCGATTCTTGAGTTCTATGACTCAAGAATTTTTTTTTTCTTTTTTAAATATATAGTGGATTTAACACTGGAGTTATATTTTCTGGAAAAGCTTTTGGCTTGAGACTGTCTCCCACTTTCTCTTCTTTACAGTCATGTCTATTGATTTTTAGTTTTGAGGGAGCCAGAGTGTGCGTTAGTGAATGAACTCGCTCTGGAGTGATCTGGGTGAAGGATCCCAGATTTTGGCTTAGGATTTTGAGAAGGAGTAGCCACCTCATTCCTTGACTTAATGAAAGAAGAGGAGCAAACCAAGTTTAGTATGTTCTCCATGGAAGACACTGTAGAACACTTTAGGTACTTGTTTTGCTAATAAGTCTTGCATAGCAGGTGGGTGGGGTGGGATGAGAAGGCACAAGTCTGACTGATGTGTGTTCTTGGCTGATTTCTTTTTCGTGGGATTTAGTAAAACTTCGTCAGAAATGTATGCTTTCTGGAACACTTTAGGGCACACAAGTTTGGAAATACTTCATCCTCGTGCAAAGTGGGACTAGTCAGTGACCCTCTACAGAACCCAGCAAGAGGATTGTGTTTTTGTAAAAAGTTCCAAGAGACAGGGGACATCTTAAATACTGCAGCAGAAAGAGAATTATTTCAGCACACATATGCATCGGGTTCTGCTTCAAAAAAGGTGTTCTTTGAGCAAAGATGAGAGCTAGGTTTGCTTCCTGTGTCCCTGCCCGCAGGTCCCAGCATTGTTAACAGGTGTTCAGGTGCCAGACAATGGGTTGGGTCATCAGGGATCAGGAATATTTAGATAAGGTCAACTTTTACTTTTTTTGGGAGGGGGGTGGGAGGGGGGAGGGAACCTTTTATTACATAGGAAAAATCCAAAAATAGTTCCAAAGCTCTAAACCCCTTTCATTCCTTTTTAATCACATTTCTCCCCCTCCCCGCCATGAGTGTTTCTCTGATAATTGTGACATGATTTTTTAAGGTTTATATTTTTGTGATATATTTTGTAACTGACTCATATCTTCATGAATGTTGCCATAGGGCTGTTCTGTGGATGATCCTACAACCTACTTTTTCACTATGGATCTGCTTCCACGGCTGCCTCCTTACATAGTTACTGCTTTGAGGGGAACTTGTTCATTAAGTAGCTGAAATGGAGGAGAAAAGAGGACAAGGAAGGGACAAGAGGCCAACAGGCCAATCCTCCTCCAAGATCAAAGCACATTTTTCCTTAGACTCTAAGAAGAATGGACTTTATTGTTCTGGGGTTCCGCTTCAATTGTGCTGTGCTGGTCCCTCCTTGTGGTCTAGCCTCCCAAGCAAGGGTATCTCAAAACCCAGTTTGAACTTGCGTGAATTCTCTACGTAATTGTAATTGTGAATTTTTTTGTACGTGCCTTTCCTGGACACAATGATGGTTGTGATCATGTTATTTTTAGTGGATAAATAAAAACTTTTTTTTTTTAAGTGCTCTGTTCTAAGCCGTGTGTCATTCAACACTCGTCTACTTGACTTTTTCAATACTTCCTCCTCCTGTCGGTTCTTTTAGCAAGCCTGCTTAAGCAGCCTGCTTCCTTCCTGGTTGTCATATGTGTCCCTGAAATCAGATCTCAGAGTGTTTAGCTTGTTAAAAAAAAAAAAAAAAAACAACAAAACAAAACTGCAAAATTTGCCCCAATGTGGGGCAATTTCCTCTAGAACACGGAAATAAGACCAAGACACCATCCCTCCTCACCCTTGTTTTACAAGCTCTAGTTTTATAAGCTCTAGTGGAAACATGGAAATTGCTTTTAATGTTTTCTCTCACATAACAGCCCCTCTGATTTTTGCCATGTCAGTTAGAGGGGAGATTAACCAGCATCCCAAATGAGAAATTTCGTGAACACTCTGGAAGGAGCACAGGACAGACGGGGTTCTCTGCAGCCTTTGGGATCTCCCATCTGCTGTCGACCCACCTTTCTGCTGCCCGATGAGGGCTCCTCCTTCCTCCCTTGTCCTGTGACTCCATTATTTTTATTCTATCAATGACAGCGGCTCTTTGAATAACCTCATTTTCTTCAGTGCCATCTCATAGTAACATTGATGAAAAAATACAATCCCAGCCGATGCTGAACAAAACAGCTTTAGTCAAGGAGTCGGTTTCTCAGATGTGTTTTGCTTCAAGTCGAAGTTTCCAAGAGCCTCTAGACAATGTTAAATGAGACCTTGCTGTACTTACTAGTGTCACAGGAACACGGGTGTCTGGTGGAGGTAGTGTTCTTGCAGCTGAAGATTGTGTGACTGTAGGAAATGTCAGCAGTTTGCACAAGGAACCCTGAGACATTAGGTGAAACTAATTTTGAAATTGCTAAATGGTAACCAAATAGAAATGAATGAGAAATCAAATTATTATACTGCTTTTGGGAACTTGTCGGCCCAGCGAGTCTGGGTGGACTTGAGTTGGTGCACATGAGCAAGTTCTTGTCAAGTAACATACCAACTATTTATTTCTGGGAGTTGCAAGGGAATGTTGAGCCTTTCAGATTAATTCTTAAGTGATTTTACAGCTTTCTTGGTTAGTATTTTTTTGTTCCACTGACCCTCCGCCAAACCACCGGAGCCCACACCCCTTTGCTTCCCTGTCCCACCCCCTCCTCCCTCTCCTCTGACCTTTCTTAAAATTATTTTTATAAGCGGCACAAGTTTGACTGTATTAGATTCCATTTTCTAAAAGCAGGTATTGCCTTGACATATAAATTCTTTTCTATCCAGTGCACTGGCAATGCTTATGGGTGCCAAACATAATACCACCGAGTTTACATCAACTCTCTGGATGTAGAACACTTATCTTATTTTTTTCCCTCTGACAAGCTATTTCTTAACTGACACAGGTAGACAGATGTCTTCCCAGTGAGTGAAGAGAGAAATTACAGCACATTGTAGGGACCCGGAAGTCAGGTACTCCCTTCACTCATTCCTGCTCCCGCAGGCTGGCCACATGTTGGCAGGTATCTAACCTAAGTG